GAGTTACACAGAGAGAGAATGAGAGGCAGAGAGAGAGAGAGGTCTTCCATCCGCTGGTTCACTCCCCAATTGGCCTCAACGGCTGGAGCTGTGCCGATCTGAAGCCAGGAGCCAGGAGCTTCCTCTGGGTCTCCCACGCGGGTGCAGGGGCCCGAGGACTTCGGCCATCTTCCACTGCTTTCCCAGGCCACAGCAGAGAGCTGATGTGGAAGAGGAGCAGCCGGGACTGGAACTGGTACCCATATGGGATGCCGGCACTGCAGGTGGCAGCTTTACCCCTATGTCACCATGCTGGCCCCAACAAGAAAGTATTCTTAACAGTATTATCAATGAGAGACATGAAAGGTATTCTGTTGTTACGCTGTGCTGATGTTGGGATAACTGTGTATGAAGATCATGGTGACTCCGTACAGACTCGGTGCTGCTTGTTTTCAGGTGAGAGAGCGGCTGCGAGTGGCACTTGAGCGGTGCAGTTTGTTAGAGGAAGAACTCGGAGCCACACACAAGGAGGTGAGCCTGAGAGTCTTCTGTGACTGGAGTGGAAGCTTCCATTCTCATGTCTGCCTTTGCGGAGCGAGCGAGTGAGGACCGCAAAGTGGCCTTTCCTCTCTGTCGAGGCGCGGGCTAGCCGGGTCATCTGGAGGCAGAGCCCCCAGTGCCATTTTGCTGTATGTAAACGAGCCCGTTTTTATTCATCTGTTACGTTCAGGACGCGTTACATTGCCACAGGCTTTCTTCTGTGTTTATCAGTTTATAGCTGTGTTTTTCCAGAAGAAGTGTTTCTGTCTCTACTTAGTTGTTTGCCGTAAGATATTTTACTCTCTCATTCAATGTTTTGATTTTAGCTAATGATTCTTAAAGAACAGAATAACCAGAAAAAAACAGTAGCAGAGGGAGTGCCGGACGTGAACCACGAGCAAGAGGACGTGCCGCACACAAACGGAAAGGCAAGTCCGCACGCCAGGTTCACCATCCCTGGGCGGGGCTGTCTGGAGAGCGCCTGCTGCACGCGCAGTCACGCAGCTCGCACACACGTGCTCTGTGCTTGCACCTGCCTGTCTCGTGGCGCCCGTCGAGGATGCTGATGCTGTCCCTTTCCCGCCAGAGGTCTTCGGACGGCTCTCTGAGCCACGAGGAGGACCTGGCGAAGGTGCTGGAGCTCCAGGAGGTCATCGACAGGCAGTCGAGAGAGCAGAGCCAGATGAAGGAGCGCCTGGCCGCCCTGTGCACCCACGTGGCCGAGCTGGAGGACGACCTGGACACGGCCAGGAAGGACCTCATCAAGTCCGAGGAGACCAACACCAAGCTGCAGCGAGACGTCCGTGAAGTGAGTGACGGCAGGCGCTGCCGTGGTGGGGTGCATGGGCTGTGTAGGGGAGTAGATCGCGTGGCTCCTTTTTGTCCGTCCTCTCCCAGTTGCTTTCGAGCGTGGATGAGCGTGTAAGTAGCAGGGAGTGCTGAGGGACTCTCGGGCCACTGCCCCAGCTCACCCCCAAACGCCGCCCGCGTCCTGCGGCTGCGGGCGGACAGCTGGTGTCATTGTGTCTTCATTACGTTCAGATGCTCTCCTGATGCACACTTAGCTAGAGGTCAGAGTCGGCATTGGGTGTGCTGTAGGTGCACTTCAGGGGACTCCCTGACCCCAGCAGCACGGCCAGCCCTCTGCATCTGGGGGTCCCACATCTGCAGATTCAGCCAGCTCCATTTGTACTGACCATGTACTGACTTCTCCTCACTACCTAAACACTACAGCCCAACAACTGTGTACACAGCAGGAACACTGTGTGAGTGGTTGTGAGTCATCTGCGTGAGTTAGAAGTGGGAGGGTATGCGTAGGTTCTGTGCAGACATTGCGCCATCTCAGATGAGGGACTTGAGCGTCTGTGCATGTTGGTTTCCGTGGATATCTGTACCCTACAGATACAAGGGACGACTGTGAGTGTGAGGGTGCATATCGGGTGTCAAGTGAACAGTGAGAGTACAGTGGGACGACTGAGTGTGAGGGTGGGCATTGGGTGTCAGGTGAACAGTGAGAGCAGTGGGACGACTGAGTGTGAGGGAGGGTGTCAGGTGTCAGGTGAACAGTGAGGGTGCAGTGGGACGACTGAGTGTGAGGGTGGGTGTCAGGTGAACAGTGAGGGTGCAGTGGGACGACTGTGACTGTGAGGGTGGGTATCAGGTGTCAGGTGAACAGTGATTGCAGTGGGATGACTGAGTGTGAGGGTGGGTGTCAGGTGTCAGGTGAACAGTGAGTGCAGTGGGACAACTGTGAGTGTGAGGGTGGGTGTCAGGTGAACAGTGAGTGTAGTGGGATGACTGAGTGTGAGGGTTGGGTGTCGGGTGAACAGTGTAGTGGGATGACTGAGTGTGAGGGTGGGTATCGGGTGTCAGGTGAACAGTGAGTGTGTGGGACAACTGAGTGTGAGGTTTGGGTGTCAGGTGAACAGTGAATGCAGTGGGACGACTGAGTGTGAGGTTTGGGTGTCGGGTGAACAGTGTAGTGGGACGACTGAGTGTGAGGGTGGGTATCGGGTGTCAGGTGAACAGTGAGTGTGTGGGATGACTGTGAGTGTGAGGGTGGGTATCGGGTGTCTGGTGAACCATGGGGTTCAAGGGGATGACTGAGTGTTATTGTTGGGTATCGGATAGCAGGTGAACAGTGCGGGTGCAGGGGGATGACTGTGAGTATTAGGGTTGGGGGTCAGTATTCAGGTGAGTAATGAATGTGGGATTTTCTTACACTTGAGTTATCAATATATAAACCATTAAATTTTGCATTTTTGAAGAACCTTTTTGCTTGGTAACTATTTGCTGGGAACTCTGTCATTGTTTTTATCAGAAGCAAATGAGAGCTGGCTACTTTCTCTGGTAACTTTAAAAGAAATTGAGATGCAGACAGACAGAATGAGAGGCAGAGCTCTCATATGCTGGTTACTCCCCCAAGTACTGTGATGGCCTTGGCCAAAGCCAGGAGCCTGGAACTCCACCAGGTCTCCCGTGTGGGTGGCAGGATCCCAGTCACTTGAACTCTTACCACTGCCTCTCAGGGTCTGCGTTAGCAGGAAGCTGGAGCTGGAGCCAGAGCCCGGAACCAAGCCCAGGCCTCTCGACCACCAGGCTGCACGCCCGCGTTGAGTCGCTCTGCTCTGGCCTTCGCTCTCCCCGAGACTCTGCACTTGACACAGCAGCTGAGCAGGTGCACTGCCGCACTTCAGTTTGCTGGCTTCCTGTGCGCAGTGTGAGAATGGAGAGCCAGGATGAACATCTGCTGGCTACATGACCTGGGTTATGTTACTTGGCTGCTGTGGGAGATTATTTGTGTGGCAAACAGTCCTGAATTCTTTTAAAACCAGTTGCTTTCAGGGGTAGGCATTTGGCATAGCAGTGGAGATGCCCGTATGCCACATCCGAGTGCCCGAGTTCCGAACCACCTGCGGCTCCTCATTCCAGCTTCCCACCAGGGCAGGCTCTGGAGGTGGCAGTGCTGGCTCAAGGAGTGGGCTCCCGGTCACCCGCGTGGGAGATCTGGATTAGGTTCCTAGCTACTGGTGTGGATCTGCCCCTGCCCCAGCCGTCACAGGCACGTGGGGCTGAACCAGCGGACGGGAGCCTGCTCGCTAATACGTGCTCGCTCGCTCGCTCTCTCTCTAATAATTAAAGTCTGTTCATTTCAGTATTAAGACCTGAGTAACATTAGTGCTTTAGTAAATAGAGACATTCCTAAGAGCAGCGGGATTCTGGGTGGAGGACAGATGTGCTGGTACAGAAGCATGTAAATGTTGGGCACTGTGTGGGGTCAGTTTTTTTTTTTTTTTAAATCTTTATTTATTTATTTTTTTTTTTGACAAGCAGAGTGGACAGTGAGAGAGAGAGAGAGAAAGGTCTTTCTTTTGCCATTGGTTCACCCTCCAATGGCCGCCGCAGCCGGCGCGCTGTGGCCAGCGCACTGCGCTGATCCGATGGCAGGAGCCAGGTACTTATCCTGGTCTCCCATGGGGGGTGCAGGGCCCAAGCACCTGGGCCATCCTCCACTGCACTCCCTGGCCACAGCAGAGAGCTGGCCTGGAAGAGGGGCAACCGGGACAGAATCCGGCACCCCGACCGGGACTAGAACCCGGTGTGCTGGCACCGCAAGGCGGAGGATTAGCCTAGTGAGCCGCGGCGCCTGCCCGAGGTCAGTTTTGCTATGAATTTTAGTAGCTGGGTCTAAGTTGAATTTCGACTTCTGGTCCATTTGTTAATGTGCTTGAGTTCTGTGATTGTGTGCGATTTCGTCTGTCGAGAGGCCCACGTGCCCGTGTCAGCCGTCTGGGACGAGCCTGCTTCCTCATCGCATCTTCCTTTTCCTCCTGAATTCTGGCTGTGCTGCAGAGTTGCATCGTTTGGATTTTTGTAATATCTTGTCACAAAGGATAAGCTTGATAACCAAATGTTCAGACAGATCTCTGCTGGTCGTACACGTGGGTATTTATATTTTAGGTTGGGTTTTTTTTTAACCAGCATTTGAGAAAATTGGCATCTCTGTCACTTTAATTTTGTGGATGTTAATTTTATATGTAATTTGAAATCTAGAGTTAGTCCAGTTTTTTCCTTTCAGGTATATTAATGTTAGATATTTATTTTCTACCTTTTTTCCCCTCTGAAATACCTCATTTAGGCCATGGCCCAAAAGGAAGACATGGAAGAGAGAATCACGACTCTGGAGAAGCGCTACCTCGCGGCGCAGCGTGAAGCCACATCTGTGCACGACCTCAACGATAAACTTGAAAATGAGATTGCAAATAAAGATTCCATGCATCGACAGGTGACGGGTTCCACAGACCTTTGTCTGGCTTTAATGAATTTTAGTCAAGTGAAAGACCTTTTTCCCGGGCTGTGGAAAGTTTGTATGATATTAGAATGTTGTGTTGGAGAGCATGGGTCACTTCAGCTTAAGGTTTTGATTGTTTAGATTTTGGTTTAACTTGGAGCTCTGCTCCTTGGTTCAGTCTTTGGTTTTGGTTGAAAGATAATCTGTTGCTTGTTGTTAACATTTCTTGCAAAGAATAGAGGGTGGTGAAGGACTTCACGGCCAGTGGCCATTTGCTGGTACCTGGAGACAGTGGTCAGTGGTGAATCTAGGAATGCAGTCTGGGCCCAGTGCTGCGATGCCACTGTTTAAGTTGCTGCCTGCAGGGCTGACATGGGCGCTGGTTCAAGTCCCGGCTGCTCCACTTGCAATCCAGTCCCTGCTAATGCTCCTGGGAAAGCAGCAGACGATGGCCCAAGTGCTTGGGCCCCTGCACCCACTTGGGAGACCTGGATGGAGTTCTTGGATCCTGGCTTCATCCTGGTCCAGCCTTGGCTGTCGTGGCCTTTTGGGGAGTGAGCTAGCAGGTGGGCGATCTCTTTCTCTCTCTCTGCCTCTCCCTCCCTCTCTGACTCTGTAACTCTGCCTTTCAAGTATATAAAAGAATCCTTTTTTTTTTTTTTAAATGACATTTGGGGGCCAGCGTTGTGATGTAGCCAGGAGTGGCACCACCTGTGATGCCAGCAGCCCATATGGGCATCGGTTCCTGTCCCGGCTGCTCCACTTCAGATCCAGCTCCCTGCTAATGGCCTGGGAAGAGCTGGAGCAGATGGCCCCAGTGTTTGGGCCCCTGCCATCCACATGGGAGACTGAGGAGGCTCCTGGCTCCTGGCTTTGGCCTTGCCCAGCCCTGGCCATTGGCGGCCCTTTGGAGAGTGAACAAGTGGATGGAAGATATCTCTCTCTCTCTCTCTCTCTCTCTCTCTCTCTCTCTCTCTCTTACTCTGACCTTCAAATAATAATGAATGAATCTTAAAACAACAAAAAAGAAATGAAATCTCTGGTAGGAGTTACTTGTTTCTGGGGTCTGGTGAGCCGCATGTACTCCTATTTCTGTGTAGCTTCTGGACATCAGGAGTTAGCCAGAAAAACCACATCAGGCTTCTTGGAATCAGTTTGGTCTTTTATAAAGTATATTGTTCGACCAAAAAGGGAAGTAAGATGTCAGGCAGCCACTGAAAGTGCTGTGTGGAGTGACGACAGATGAGAGGCAGACAGGGGTGGCCGTGCCCGATCCAGCGTGGCGTGTCTGAGGGTGTGGGGTCTCCGTGTCGTAGCGTGTGTTGGCGTGTGTGGAGGTGAGTACACTGGGTAAGGAAGAAGGCTGTGTGGAAACGGGCAGATATGTCAGGAATCTGAGCTTAGATGATTCTTAGAGTTTTAAGAAATCTTGTGAAATTTTCTGCATTGAAAATTTTTTTAGAAGAAAATGGTTTTTAAAGAGTACTCACAGAGAAGTAAGTTGACAGCATTTCTTTCTTTTTTTTAATGTTTATTTATTTATTTGAAAGTCAGAGTGTCATAGTTACACACACACACACACACACACACACACACAGAGAGAGAGAGGTCTTCCATCTGATGGTTCACTCCCCAGATGGTTACAACGGCTAGAACTATGCTGATCCGAAGCTAGGAGCCAGGAGCTTCTTCCGGGTCTCGCACGTGGGTGCAGGGGCCCAAGGATTTGGGCCATCCTCCACTGCTTTCCCAGGCCACAGCAGAGAGCTGGATAGGAAGTGGAGCAGCTGGATCTCGAACTGGCGCCCATGTGGGATGCTGGCGCTTCAGGCCAGGGCGTTAGCCTGCTGCGCCTCAGCGCCGGCCCCAACAGCATCTTGTCACGTGTGTTCTCGGAAGGTCTGTATCAGGATGAGAGCCACCTTTTGGCTCACACCTGTGGTGTCTGCTGGGAGCAGGGTCAGCCTCGGCTTGGTCCCTGCTTGCCTGGAGCGTTTACTGCCCCCTCCGTGGGTGAGATAACCAGGCCTCCACGAAAACTCCTTTTCCTTCACGTCTGGGAGCCTTCAGGTGTTCAGAATGGGGGCTTCAGGAAGTTCAGGCAGATGGGGTCGAGCGGCAGTGCAGACAGGTGTCCGGCTTAGGGAAGATGTTGGGGAGGACACCGAAGCCTGGCTCTTCGCCCCAGCTTCTTGCTGCTGCAGGCCCTGGGAGGCAGCGTCGTGGCTCCCGGCGCTGGGGTCCGGCCACGCACAGGGAGACCTGAATTGAGTTCCCAGCTCGTGGCTTAGGTCCTGGCCAAGTCCTGACTGTGTGGGCATTCGGAAAGTGAATCAGCGCATAGGAGCTCTCGGTCTCTGTCTCTCAAAAAAAAAAAAAAAAAATTCTGTGAACTTTTTGAAGCCCCAAATACTTTGGCAAGAGGCGTTTTGCACACTGCACTCAAGCCCAGAAGGTGGGCGTGTGGTACTGCAGCAAGAAAAGTCCCCTCCCCCCGCAGCTCCCAGAGCAGCCGGGCTGCCGTGGTGCTGCCGTGGTCTCTGTGTGTGTGCGTTTCTGATGGAGACGGCTGAGCGCTGACGCCTGTGACGCTGTGCTCTCTTCGTAGACTGAGGATAAAAACCGCCAGTTGCAGGAGCGCCTGGAGCTGGCGGAGCAGAAGCTGCAGCAGACGCTCAGGAAGGCAGAGACGCTGCCCGAGGTGGAGGCGGAGCTGGCCCAGCGCGTGGCAGCACTGTCCAAGGTGGGACCTGGGGCGCGGTTCTGCTGAGCTGCCGGGACGCTGCCCGGGACTCCTTCCTGGCCCTTGCTCGTCACCCTCCCTGGGTCGAGGCCCCGCATCCGTGGGACAGTCTCACCCCCACTTTTGTGTCCCTGAGCCCCTGGTCTGCAGGTGTCCTGTCTGTCCACAGGAGCGTGCTGGACACTGCTGCCGGGACTCTGGTCACCAGCTGCGAGCGTGGGATAGAGGCCTGGACAGGGCCAGGGTTTCTGTCTTTTCTGTCAGGAGTAGGAAAATGCCTTTCTTTCAGAGACAGGATCACTTGCGCTAGACTTTTGAGCAATTTCAATTTTCAAAATCTGTTCTTAAGCCACCTTCATTCATTGGTTTGGCAGCTGTTGGGAGGCATGTGTGGCACAGTGCCCTGCCCTGTCCTGCTCAGGGCACACCTGGACGGGGCAGCCGCCTGGGTGGGGGAGGGCTTAGAGCTGCAGGGTTGGGCACAGCCACCCGCAGCCAGAGCTGTGGGAGGGGCCGAGACAGACACGGGGCCCTGCAGGGGAGGCAGCGCCGGCCCGGCCCTGGTGTTCTCCACTCAGACCTGTCCCTTGCAGCAGGCGGGTTGCTGACAGCTGTCACGGAGCCCGTCCCGTGGCCGTGATGCGCGGTCATGGGTTGCTGACAGCTGTCACGGAGCCCGTCCTGCGTCCGCGATGCGTGGTCACGGGTTGCTGACAGCTGTCGTGGAGCCCGTCCCACGGCCGTGATATGCGTTCACGGGTTGCTGACAGCTGTCGTGGAGCCCGTCCTGTGTCCACGATGCGTGGTCACGGGTTGCTGACAGCTGTCGTGGAGCCCGTCCTGCGGCTGTGATGCGTGGTCACGGGTTGCTGACAGCTGTCACGGAGCCCGTCCTGCGTCCACGATGCGTGGTCACGGGTTGCTGACAGCTGTCATGGAGCCCGTCCTGCGGCTGTGATGCGCGGTCACGGGTTGCTGACAGCTGTCACGGAGCCCGTCCCGCGGCCGCGATGCGCGGTCACGGGTTGCTGACAGCTGTCGTGGAGCCCGTCCTGCGTCCACGGTGCGCGGTCACGGGTTGCTGACAGCTGTCGTGGAGCCCGTCCTGCGTCCGCGGTGCGCGGTCACGGGTTGCTGACAGCTGTCGTGGAGCCCGTCCTGCGTCCGCGGTGCGCGCTCACAGTCTCGGTCTCTTCTCTCCTGTTGCCTTTCGCTGTCGGCTCTGTAGTCTGCCCTCTTGTCTTCTGGGAGCTCTGCTGCTCAGGAAGCTAAGCTGCCCCACCTCACCTCCAGGCTCAGGAAGGTAGAGCCTGCCCGTGCCTTGCCGCCGCTTGCTGCTTTCTGCTCTCCGTGCTGGCTAACCGGAAGCGGCCCGAGCCGGGGCGTGGGCGTGGTCAGCAGCACTGCCCTGCCTCACGGGCCCAGCCGTGCGGCCGCAGGGCTGTGGCGGTGGCTGTGGGCCCGCGGTCCACCCGAGCATGGTGCTTGTGGCTGCTGCAGCAGGAGACGGCATGCCGCCACGGAGGGCGGGGCAGGAGCCCCGCTGACCTTGTCTTTGCCGACAGGCTGAAGAGAGACACGGCAACATTGAAGAAAGGCTGCGGCAGATGGAGGCGCAGCTGGAGGAGAAGAACCAGGAGCTGCAGCGGGTATGTGTTCCGAGGGCCCGAGTGTGGGCTGTGGCTCAGGCCCGGGGCGGCGGGGCCTCTGTCCCACTGCCCCGTCGTCTGCCGCCCTGCTGGCTCAGGTGGGGCTTGTCCGTCTCCACTCCTGTGTGCCCTGATTGCACAGGAGTGAGTTGTCTGCTGATCCGTTTGCCCCACTCACTGGTGGTTTTATGTCCATGTTGGTAGCAGCAGGGGAGTGCTGAGATGAGAGCGGCACTGTAGGGGATGGGAGCCCCGTGTTCAGGACAGCTGCTTGCTCATCCAGCAGCCCAGCATGGGAACCGCTGTGGGCACTGTGGTGCCTGGCAGGGCCCCTAGAACAAGCTTGTGGTGCTGGCCCGGGACCCCAGCGTGTGGTCCTAGAAAACCAGTGCACTCGCTTAGAAAGTGGCCCTGGGGTCCCGAGCTCAAGTCAGAGGCGTCTCCATCTCACAGTGCTGAACTGCTGCTGGCCGGAATGCTTCCAAGCAAGAAGAGTGTGGTGACTGAGGGAGCTCAGCGGAGGCCTGGCAGGTGCACCCCAGGGGGTTCCCTGGAGGAAGTGAGTGAGTGTCCACAGGGGACATCCAGGGGAGAGAGAGGGAGACTGGCCCGTAGCCAGCTGCCACCAGGCCTCGTGCTTGGGGATGGATTTCTCTGGAAGAAGTGAGTGGAGGGAGGTGGCCTGACGCATCTGACAGTGGAAGCCTGCACCCCTCCTGCAGCCTGCTTTGTGACAGTACAAAGCTCTTAGGTTTTCACCAGAAACTTGTCGTCTTGATCCTGCACGGCCGAGGCTCAGCTGAGCTTCCAGGAAGTGATGGCTTTGCCTCCTGTTGAGAGAGCATGCGTCTAGGCCCTGTCCCGGGCGTCCGTCACTGCTGTCAGACTGTGGAGTCAGGAGGGAGCAGCGTGGCAGGGGTGTGGGCGTCCCTGCAGACCGGAAGTGCACATGGAGCTGTTTCTGCTTCATGAGGATTCTCTTGCTCAGGGAGGGCCGTCAGGTACTCTGAGCCTCGCCCGTCGTGCCGGGCCTCCCCGTGCTGACAGCTGCCGTGTGTCGGGCGTGTTCTGCCTGTTTCGTGTTTGTGAGAACAGGGAGACCTCCGACCTGCATCCTCCCTTGAGGAGACTGAGCCCGCGGGTGGGTCTTGGGGTTTCGGTGCTTCTGCCAGGCAGCGGGACCTCAGTGAGCCGGAGCCCACAGGTGAGCTGGGGAAGGAGGCCCGGCCACGCCACTGTCACTCCTCTGCCATCTGTGGTCCTGCGGGAGTGGGGTGCCAACAGAGCTTGTCAGCCGTGGCGTTGGCAGTGCTGTATGAACCCCACTTGCCCGAGTTTGTTACCACAGTTAAGGTCACATAAGGTGGTGAGTTGTAACTTGTGAATATAAATGTCTGTGATGAGCCGTTTAAGCCATGTGAAGGTATGAAGCAGAATAGACGAGAGGCTTTCCGTTGCCTGAGATTTTTCAAAGCAATTTTTAACTTTCGCTTTGTGAATTAATTTTATCCCTGGATCCAGACCCAAGCTTTTATTTACCCGGGGGAAATTCTACCCGCGTGTAGAGCTGATCCCCTTCAATGTCTGCCGGCTCCCTGTGTGTGAGGCGGCTCCCTAGCGTGGCTGCCAGTGACGGCTGTGACCAGCGGAGGTGGCAGGGCTGCCTGTGCCCACCTCTGAGACTGGCCCCTGAGTGTCCCTGCTCCTGGGGGCCGGATCTCGTCATCATGTCAGGCTCGCTGGGGACAGCCGTGGTTCGCAGCAGGATGGCGGCGTGGGTGTGACTCACAGCAGGTCCTGGAGACTCACAGGTGTCTGTTGCTCTTATTTTAGGCAAGGCAGAGAGAAAAAATGAATGAGGAACATAATAAGCGCTTATCAGACACTGTGGACAAGCTGCTTTCAGAATCTAACGAGAGACTTCAGCTTCATCTTAAAGAGAGAATGGCCGCTCTGGAAGACAAGGTAGGGTTGAGCCGCACCCCTGTCCACGGAGACGGTGCCATCTCCTGGGTAGGAGTGCGTGGCCGTGGAGCATGACCGTACGGGAAGTGGGGGTGGGAAAGCCCGCAGGCCTGGCAGCTGCGAGGTCCTTGCCCAGTTGTGGGCGTGGAAAATTGTTTCTCATTATTATTTTCTAGGACGAGAGCAGATCAAGGGTTTCTGTAAAGGACCAGATAACAAATGTTTTAGGCTTTTAATAATTGTGAGTAATTAAAGTAATGCCTTGCTAATCAGTAACATGCATAAAAGCAGCCACAGACAACACATTTGTAAGTGGATGTGGCTGTGTGCCAGTCAAACTTTATTCACAGAAATAGGCAGTTGGCTGGGCTTGGCCTTCGCTCTGTGTGCCGACCGTGCACGCAATGGAATCTGTTCAGCCCTCGCCCCTTTGTTGCCCTTGAGCTGGTGGTGAATTTCTGTCCGTTTGTAAACAACACGAGAGGAGTGTGCTGTGACGGAGAGGGTTTCTCTCATCAGCCAGAAGCGGACCTCCTTCTCTTTGCTCTTCTCTTGTGGTTTGGAAAACGTCTGAAGCTGGACTCCCAGTTCCCCCATCGTGGGCGTACACCGGCTCCCTGGCTCCCGCGTGAGGGGGTGGCCTCAGATCTGCCGGGCGGCGGCTGGGTCCAGACCTGACAAAGCCTGTCTGCACCGCACTGGTTGGAGTCTCCCTGAGACTGGCAGCCAGGGTTGGCCCTGCTTGTGACGGGTCCTCTGATTCCCAGGAGACCCGTGTGGGACACCACGGGAGACCACCTGAGCAGTGTTCTAGCGTTGCGTTTCACATTGGAAAGTTAATGTCAGGTTTGCTAAGTGACGATGAGTAGTAAAACCAAAATGAGTGTCAGTATAACCTTTCTGACGGATTACAGTCAACTGTATAGCGAACTCAGCGTGCCTGCATCGAGAGGCTGTCGGGAGGAGCAAGTTCTGTCCGACAGGAAAAGCTGTTGGCAGTGTGGCCTCCTGGCTGCCATCGGCCCTGCTCCCTGGGACGAGCACCTGATCTGTTCCCGTCCTGTCGCACTTCCGTGTTTGAAGAGGTTTGGCCAGGTTGTGTTACGTGGGACACTTCCATAACCCTAAAGAACTGTCTGTCTTTTCAGAATTCTCTATTACGAGAAGTTGAAAACGCGAAAAAGCAGTTAGAAGAAACGCAACATGATAAGGTACTCCGATCTTCTCCAGTTTGTTGAAAATCTGTGGGAACGGAGTTGAATTGATACATTCTGTCTGGTGACAATGGAGATGGGCCTCTGTGGCTGCTGTTGTCCGCTGGTTCACGGCACTCCTCAGCTTGTCCGTTGTTTTGAGTCTGTCAGTGGTGTGGCTCAGGGTTCTCAGTCCTGCCTGGGTGCATCTGAAGCTGAACCAGGAGCGTGACCTCTTCCTCACAGCCAGTGCGGACCTGCAGGGGCCCGTAGGGACCGCACACCTGACTTTTTCTGCTAAAAGAGATAGACATTGTGTCAGGATGGTATCATTATGTACTGAGGGCACTTAAAAAATTAATAAGAAATGAAATCGAAACACACGCACATTTTCTGTGAGGGTTTTCGAGTGCTCTTGTTGACATAAAACACTGCTTTTTGTCCTTCTGTTGGATGGAGTCTTGGAGTCCCTGTGTGCTCTGTGGTCAGAGTGATCTCCTGGCTCAGTTGCCACATGTGACCTGCATTACTGTCCTGGACGGCAGAGACCTAGGACCGGGGTCAGATGCACACGTGGTACAGGAGTGAGCCTGTGGTGGACAGAAGCTGTCGGGAACAGTGTGCAGACACACAGTGTGAAGTGACGGTTGATAACTGTCGGGGCATGCCATGTTCCTCCTCTTCACAGCTTTTCTGTGACGAGAGGTTGCTTCTTCCTCACGTTTACATAGTGACCCTGGGGATTCACAGCTGCTCCTCTGACCGTCACGGATAGGCTCACCTTCTGGGCACACTGGGTGCAAGTGGTTTCAAGCCTGACAGCACTGCAGAGTTGTGATGTTGGCTGTTTGCTGTCTTGTAGGATCAGCTCGTGCTAAACATCGAAGCCCTGAGGGCTGAGCTAGACCAGATGAGGCTGCGAGGTGCTTCCCTTCATCATGGGTATGGTATTCCCCGGCAGGGAGTGTGTTCTAGCGCCTGTTGTGCGTAACAAGGGCCTGTCCTGCTCTGCGTGGGCGGCGTAGCTGGCGTAGCTCATGGTCTGAGCACAAGGAGCCTGTCAAATGCTTAATAGCAGGCTGGACGGAAGGGGAAATGGCATAGGCAACGCTCAGACACGGGGGAGTTCTGGAGGCGGGGAGACGCAGCAGGGCGGCACACTCACGCTGCAGGCACAGTGCAGAGCCCACCAGAAGGGGGGCGGTGTGGGTCAGGTGTTCAGTGTGGTGGTGAAGACACCGTGTCCCGTATCAGACATCCACCTGCTGCCAGTGCAGATCCTGGGAGCAGTGGCGATGGTTCAGGTAGTTGGATCCCTGCCCAACATGGGAGACCTGGATTGAATTCTTGGCCCAGCCCTGGCAGCCGAAGGCATTAGGGGTTGAACAAGCAGGTGGGAACCCTCTGTCTCTCAGATGGATTGATGGATGGACGGACGGACGGACAGGCATTTGTGGTAGTTGCACCTGCAGGGTGGGATTGCTAAGGGAGCAACTGCATGGTTGGGACTCGAGGAGTCCCTCACATTCGTGGGTTTAGTACGGTATTTGGGGTTTTGAATATTTTTAAGAGACTTTGGAGTGGAGCTCCAAAACATGATTTTCAAATCTGTCAAGATACGACTTTTTTTTTCTTAATATAAGCGTGTTTTTAAATATTTATTTATTTATTTGAGGGGTAGACTTACAGATAGGGAGAGACAGAGAGAGAGGTCTTCCATCCACTGGTTCATTTCCCAAGTGGCCACAACAGCCAGGGCAGGGCTGAACTGAAGCCAGGAGCCAAGAGCTTCTTCCAGGACTCCCACGTGGGTGCAGGGATCCAAGGACTTGGGCCATCTTCCACTGCTTTCCCAGGCCACAGCAGAGAGCTGGACCGGAAGAGGAGTGAGCAAGCAGGACTCAAACTGGCGCCCATACGGGATGCTGGTGCCGCGGGCGGAAACTTGGCTTACTGCGCCACAGCGTCAGCCTCAAGATACGATGTTGAACGGTGACTATAGGAGTGACCCCCTGGCCTGTGACTGAAGCTAGATAACTGCCCAGCACCTGTGCCCAGCGCACAGCCCGTGGTCCTGCAGTCCTGTTATCTTTAAGGCACCAGGGGGGCTTTTGTGTTTCTTTGCAGAAAATGGCCATTGAATGAGTTACATTTTAGTGTGAGTTACTGAAAGGGTTAACCGGTGCTTCTGGTCACAGGAGACAGGCCCCTGCCTGCAGGGGTGTGTAGGAGAGAGCAGGCAGCCCACGGAGGCCTTCCTGCTGCAGTGTGCTGGGAGGGTCTGGGGTCTCCGGCCCGGCTGGAAAACAGGAGGAGGAGCAGTGAAGACAGAATCACAGGGAGCCGTGGCGGGACATTCACCCCGAGACTTCACGCTTAGAGAGGAAACGCGGCGGAACTGCAGGGCAGGTGGCGGCCCTGGCGGGGACAGGCTGGCTCGGGCCGTGTGGCAGAGGCAGGCTGTGGCCCAGGCAGCCGCTGAGCGGCGCGAGGGAGCGGGAGGAAGCTCTCAGTGCGTCACTCTCCTGTGGAAGAGTTCAGTGAGGAGGGGAAGGAGTGAGCTACGGTGTGGTTGAGGCTTGCCCGTGTTTGCCAAAAACGTGACCCTGGGAAGCCAGGTGACAGAGAGGCACCCTGCCCAGGAGGGAGGGCCCAGTCACCCTGGCTGGCAGGTCTGACCTCAGTGGCGCAGAGGTAGGTCCTTAGGTCCAGGAGTCAGGTGTGCAGCTCTCCCGTGGCTCGGGGAAGGCGGCTGGGAAGGGGGGAGGATAGAAGCTGACAGGTGGGGCCAACGCCACCCGTTTCACACAGTTCGACCCTTAAACCCGGTCTTTATGTTTTTGTGATCTTCCCTAGCAAGAAAAGTGGGGAAGAGCTGGGGTTGGGCTTGCATTAGCAGATGGGGTGCCTGGAGGGGACAGCTGCGGGGGCAGTCTGCAGGGCGTCGGATCAGGGGGTGCCGGTGATGCGCTCGCCTGACTCTGTGTGCTCTGGAGGGTGTCTCGGCCGGCAGGCAGGCAGCACTCGCCTGCTGCGGAAAGAGGGAGAGGAAGGAGAGGGCTGTGCACGCTTTGTCCCTCACATGCGAGCTGAAGGCTCACCCCGTCTGTAGGACGTGCTGGGGGCATGTGAGCTAAAGTAGGCGGGTTGGTGTGTCAGGCTGACCCAGTAGTGTGCATTGGGTGGAGCGTCCCGGGAGGCCTGTGCTTATACCCCCCAAGCAGACTAGTGGGTCCTGTCTTGTGAGATCTTTGAAGATTTGGGAGAATGAAGGTAGCCACCACCTTTCTCAGAGCACAAGGAGTTTCCTGGTATGTAGAGTTGAGACAGTGTAGGGTGGCATGGTGCGTGGGCTGCTGTGGCCGAGGTTGGTGGCCTGGTCTCTCCCACTCCCACATGGTCTTCCTAGGGCATGTGCTGTGGGAGCAGCCGGTGGGCACGGCTCCTCCATCTCGGCTGCACAGTCCCCCACCTCTCCCGGCGGTTCCTTCATGGGGCTGGTTTTCTGCTGATCACTTACACACAGCCCTGTGCTTTCGAGTCAGAAACAGCAGGGCCAGCCACGGCCGCCTGCAGCCGAGCTGGAAGGGGTCTGAAGCCGGAGCTCTGCAGGCAGAGCCGGGTGGCCTGTCCTCAGCCGTGTGAGAGCAGTTCGTGCGCAGGGAGGACTGAGATGCGTCTCCGTCTTCTGCAGGCCCAGTTGTGGCATCCTCCTTATTCTGTTGTGGTTTACGTGGGTTTGCCTCGATCCCAGGGCCGCCAGCTGCAGAGAGAGCAGGCGGCCGCCGTCAGGGCAGGAGAGGGAGGTGGCCTCCTTGGCGCCGTGCACCCTGTGGTAGGACGTGCTCCCAACCAGGTGGCTCTCAGCGGGACTAGCAGTCATGGAGCCAGTTTACTTTTCTTCTAACAGCAGCCACTTTCTGTTTTTTTTTCCTGTTTCAGCCGACCCCACTTGGGCAGCGTCCCAGACTTCAGGTTTCCTGCGGCAGACGGTCACACGGACGCCTACAGCACCAGCTCTGTGCTGCGGCGCCCCCAGAAGGGCCGGCTGGCAGCGCTGCGGGATGAGCCCTCCAAGGCAAGGCCCTGCTCACACCGGAGTCGCCAGGCTGTCCTGGGACTCTCCCGGAACACGCTCTGCCCCTCGCCCCACGCTTCTTTTTATGCTGGGACTTGACTTTAGGGAAATGGGTTTTTTTTGGGTTAACGTTTTAAAGAACAGAATTTCCAATAAGCTAGTTTCCTCACAGCTGCACTGTTAGTATGGATTTGAAGTAGTAATTAAAGGAAATGTGAGTGCACATTCACCCATCAGTGAGAAGGGTCCACAGGTGCCCCCTCCTCTCTGTTCAGCAGCGAGTCCGTGAGCAACTGGTTGGGTTAGGCACTGAACAGACAGGGCTGAAGCAGGGTAGATACACAGGAAAGGTGCTTATGACGTAGAGTGGTGTGTGCAGGGAGCCGTGTGAAGTGGAGCGGGTGTGGTGTGTGCAGGGAGCCGTGTGAAGTGGAGCGGGTGTGGTGTGTGCAGGGAGCCGTGTGAAGTGGAGCGGGTGTGGTGTGTGCAGGGAGCCGTGTGAAGTGGAGCGGGTGTGGTGTGTGCAGGGAGCCGTGTGAAGTGGAGCGGGTGTGGTGTGTGCAGGGAGCCGTGTGAAGTGGAGCGGGTGTGGTGTGTGCAGGGAGCCGTGTGAAGTGGAGTGGGTGTGGTGTGTGCAGGGAGCCGTGTGAAGTGGAGTGGGTGTGGTGTGTGCAGGGAGCCGTGTGAAGTGGAGTGGGTGTGGTGTGTGCAGGGAGCCGTGTGACAGTGGAGCGGCTGTGGTGTGTGCAGGGAGCCGTGTGACAAGTGACCGTGTAGTTTTTGGGTAGAACACAGGGGACTCCCGGTTCTCAGTTTCTATCGACTCACGAGCTGGCCCGGGGTCTGGCGATGTTGTAGGTGTCAAAGCTCAATGAGTCTGGCAGCCCGAGGTGAGGGCCTGTTGCCGGGCTGCGTGAGGGTCCTCATAGCCTGGTGCTGCATCGTCAGCTCAGGTTCTCAGTGAGAGGGAGAGGGAAGCTCAGAGCCTCCCTGGCCCTGTCTTGAGAGTGTTGTACCTTCCCTTCGAGTGACTGAGCCCCCAGCCCCCAGGGCATTGCGGGAATCACCGTCACCCCTAGAGGGAGGTGGTGGCAGTCACTCTGAGCCTTCCTTGTCGTGAGATAGCAGTGAGCGGGGCGGGGAGCTGAGCCTGGAGTCGGGGGAGCAGTACAGGTGTTCAGCTGGGTGGCCAGGGAGATGTCACTATGGGGACCATGAGCGTGGCCTGAGGAAGAGGGCCGTATCTCAGTCCCTGTCACGCAGTGCCACCAGGACGGCTGGGCATAGGGTAGCATGAAGAGCAGGTGCAGGTGACCACAGACGGTCAGGGCTGGAGCTGAGCCTCAGCATGCAGGTGGGCGGGCATCAGGCAGGCCCTGGGGTAGTCCGTGTGGGAGGCTGGAGGGCATTGTAGCACTGAGAGCCAAGCGTAGCATCCTGAGTGTGCAGGGGAGGGTAAAGGCACAGGCAGGAAGTATAGAGTCATGCAGGGGTGGGTAAAGGCAAGGCAGGAAGTATGGGATCGTGACCGTGCAGGGGTGGGTGAAGGCACAAAGCAGGACGTGTAGGGTGAGGTCACCACGTGGGTGCCCCTTGGTAGAGTCGAGGTTCTTGGATGGAGCCTGGGAGTTCCCAGCTTGGAGGTCAGACGGGTGGAGGGGAGTCGGTATGAGATAGAGGTGAGCAGTGCCACAGGCTAGGAGGAAACCAGGAGATGGAGTTCTGGACAGGACTGGCTGAGAGGGGCAGCTGGCTGATCAGATGGACAGAGCCGCCACCAGGCTTTAGCGGTGTGGCTCTGCTGCGGGGTCAGGAGGGTGGGAGGGGAGGAAGCGCAGGAGCCTCGAGAGGCTCACTGGGAGAAAGCAGCAGGAGGGACAGAGGGAGGAGCCTGGGGCACGGCGGCAGGGGTTTCAGAGTGCGAGATGGGGGAACGCCTT